CAGATGGGAATGGCCCATAAGAAATCACAACGTAGCCATAGACACATTGCTTGGTATGTGTGTGTGTGTGTGTGTGTGTGTGTGTGTGTGTGTGTGTGTGTGTGTGTGTGTGTGTCTGCTCTGTCTTCTCCATCCCCAGTGAGTCGTGGAGGATGGCTGCTTATACTGAGCCAGGATCCTCTGCAGGTTTCTTCCTGTTAAAGGGAGTTTTCATCTCCACTGTCGCTGCATGCTTGCTTAGTATGAGGATTGTTGTAAAGACTCTGACACTAGTCAGTGACTTGATGCAATCTGCTGGGTTCCTTATTTAGGAACCGTTTTTCTGGCTTAATGACCTGACCTGTATTGGAATGTTTATTATGCAAAGTGTCTTGAGACGACTCTTGTCATGATTTGGCGCTTTATAAATAAACTTGAAACGAATTGAATGTAAAACCCTCTTATACTGTATGACCTCAATATACTTTAACATCATATTGATAACCAATGCACCCATATACAATCTGACAAATCTGCTAATAGAAAGTGTGTTCTCATAGGACTGCATCATAATTCTTAAGGGGGAAATAAGTAAACAGTATACAACTTTTATGACACCGCTCTTAATTAAAACATGGCTAGAATAAACGACAGGCCTATGATGTGGCCATTTTATAGCCATTTTGGTCAAATCTGGAGGATAAACTTACCCAATCTTTACACAATCCTTTAGCACCTAAAGCGTTTACTGGGCATAACAATCACACCAAATCCTATCTCAACCGCTGGAACACCAACAGCAATTTCTCTTTCTGGTGTCACGTTGGTTAGCGTTGGCAGCCATCTTGAAGAAGATTGATTTCAAATATAAATCTGTTGTCGATGTTTGCATACAGTACAGAACAATTTATTCAACACCCCTCCCTACACACACACACACACACACACACACACACACACACACACACACACACACACACACACACACACACACACACACACACACACACACACACACACACACACACACACATTCCACCTTCAGTGATGAAACATTTCCATTAAGCAGAACATATTAAGCTGGGCGTACACTGTGCGACTTTTTCACTCGTAGCACTCAGCTTCAGCTCAAACTGTACGACTTCCTCACAGGGCAGATCTCACGAGTCATGCGCTCACACTGCACGACCCAGTTCTCGGATGCGACCTGACTGCTCACACTGTACGTCTGGTAGCAACACGTCGGACCTAAAAAAATGCTAAAAATAGCAGTTTTTACTCAACACGTCAGACTTTTTTGTCTTGTCTTGCCTGTTGTCCTTCGGGAGTGCTGCAGGAGGACACACAGGGATTTATGGGGGTTGGATGAGGAAAACGAAATAAAGAAAGTAAATCTGTGTTTTGTGATCAGTTTAATTTGACATGAACACGACAAACACGCTTTCTTGACAATCTTTGTGAGTAAAAAAACGTGTAGAAATAAAAACGAACAGCGTGTGTTATTGGGGAAATAGCGGGCGAGCGGTGTTGATGCAGGATTGCACATGCGCCGTGACCGGTTCTGATACTTTTTGGGTCGCAGCTGCTCGCAGCGCAGCTTCGACAGTTCGATACCCTCACGAGGGACGAGCAAAATATTAAACACGCCAGAAGTCCGTGCGAGCTCACGATTGCTGATCGGTAGCTGGTCACGTGGTGTTAATCACCTGTCGTAACCCCCTGTACACTACACGACGCAAAACTCGCCCCGATGTCGTGGATTCTCGCACGAGTGGAAAATCGGCTCAAAAAAGTGAAAAAGTCGCACAGTGTACGCCCGGCTTTAGATTGTGCTGCTGTATTTTTTTGTCACATTGAGCTTTATGTCACTGTCTCATACGTTATGTTAAAATATCATAAAATATTCAGAATGTTTTTTTTTCCAGAGGTAATATGTAAAATATATCATTTGAAGTACAGCTGTTTACTGTCTGAATATTTTCCAGTGCGTGAAATGCTGGGTGGCCAGTGTAGCGTAGCTAAACAACACAATAACATTTGTTTTTGGTGGTTAGTTTCCACACGTTTGCAGAAAAATAGTGTCAACAGAAGGTTAAAACAGGGTGGGGGGTGTTGCAGACGACTACTTCAAATCTGAAATAACGTCTGTATTTGCTAGTGCTGTGCTGTTGCCGGCTTACTATCTGGGACGTTTCGATGCATATGAAAATAGGTTCATACATATCACACAGCCAGATACGGTGGAATCTGCTGCTGATTGTGCTGCTCATCCCAGAGCTTTGCAGAGCACCTACTGTGATTGTATTTCAAACTGATGCTGGGGAGAAAAAAATCTGACTGTTAAAGCAAATGTTTGCCCTGCTGGGTCTGTCGCTATCTCCAAACGCTCAGAAAAAAGGAGAACAAACACCAGGAGGTAAAGGGTGAACAAGAGAAGGAGGACAACAACAACAACACGCATAAATCACGCGGCGGAGTTGTGATCCTCTCTCTGACAGACTTCAAAAATATTCAGTGCCTCAGATTCTGGTTTACACAACCATTGTGGCTCAAACAGAGCATTTGCATTGTGAGTAATGGAATAATAGATGTGGAGATATTTGACCAACGTATGCAGCATGCTTGTCTTTAACCTGCCAACCTCCTCCTGACCTGGCTATTAATCTGCAGTACAAACGCTCTCTGATCTCAGGGTCTCTGATCCTCGAGTGGATCATTATATGGCTTCACCAGTGCTCCCCACTGAATGTCAAGTGCTTCCAGTTTGCCAGATGACCTCTATTTTCAGGCTGTGCTGCTTTTTATGAGGATAGTCTTAGTTCTACTGTGCTGTGAAAATGTTTGCCCACCTAACAGATTCCTTCTGATTTAGCTTTTTTTTTTTTTTTTTGTCATATCTAAATGTTTCAGGTCAGAAAACCAATTTAAGTGCCCGGAAAAAGTTACTTTTGTTACAGAATGTTGTTTTATTTTATTTTTTTCTTCCATTTTGAACAACTAAAGTTTCAACGAAACAAAGGCAGAGAATGAAAAACTGTGGCTTAAAATGTTCCCCTCAGAAAAATCAGCAATGTTTTCATCGCAGATTGCATCAAACACGTTGTTTATGTATTCTGATATACCCCAACCAAAATATTCTTGGTGGGAACAAGTACACTCAAGCAGAAACATGTTAACGTGAAGGATTTTTGTTCCACTTCTCTTGACACAACTCCTTTAATTCAACCACATTGGAGTGTTTTTAAATCATGAACCTTTAAAGAGACTATGTGTAGATTTTACCATTAATTTTTGGAAATATCCATCAAAATGTTGAAAATAAATAAAATGATGCCCAGTTGTTGAAAAATATTGGCGGCTTTGTAACAAATAACCATAAAAATCAGGTCTGAAACACATGGGAGCGGGTCTAGGTCCCTGGGCAATGCCATATTAGATGTCATGTTTCCTTCTACGGGAGCCCATGAGGACAATGCATTTACTGATGTGTAACAAATGGTTGCAAAACTTTCATCATTCTTAAATGTTGTTGTTTTACTAATTTACCTGTTCACTTGTTGCCAATTATGAAAGGGAGTCTGATGTGTTTGTTATTTTGCTAAAGTTTGCACTCCCCAGGGCTTTTTGACCCTAAAGGGGCATTCCTTGGTAAGGTCTCACTCCAACACAAACATACTGCTTGCTTTCAATTATTTAGGTATCTACTGCCCTCTACTGCCAGGAAAAATACACAGTGTCACATTAAGGTCAAAGGTCAGGCAATTTTTGATAATAAGTAATTGAAATCATGACAAGCTGTCCAGAGCCAGAGTTAGCAAAGCAACCCCAAACCATCACTCCACCACCACCAGATTTTACTGTTATTTTAACGCATTCGCTGCCAGCGTTTCTCACCGTTTTTACTGTTTTTTTAAGAGTGACAGAATGTTGCACGCTAGGATGATGTCGACGCCAAAACAACCAAAACAAAGTGGAGACTCACCTCTTACATCAGGAAGAATCCGTCGTTTCGAGCGTTATCCGTTCTTTCATAATCCGTTGTTGAAATGTGATCGGCAGAAGCTTTTCCGGTTCGCGCCTCACTTTTTTAACAGCAGCGGTCCAAAACGATCTCCTAACACACGGATGTTCTGCTTCCTGATCATGTGACGTGTGACGTATGTGGATGAAGATCAGCTTCAGAGCTGAGATGTTTGTTCTCAAGGTGCGGGGGCTCGTCCGACGCCCACACAGTAAAAACATGCAAACGATGACTTTAGTTGTCAATGGCAGTGAATGAGTTAATAATTTATTTAATGAATTTTGATCTGAAATGCAGTTTTAGTTTTACGCCAGATGGAACAAGAGCTGCACCTTCCAGAAAGTTCCACTTTTGTCTCGTCAGTCCGCAGAATATTTCCCAAGAGTCTTTGGGACCATACATCTTTTGGGGGCAAATTTGAGATTTGTTAGGACCCCAATCTTTTTTTTTATTACTGAGTCATGAAATCTGACCTTAACCTCCTGATGTGAAGCCTGCAGGACTTTAGATGTGGATTTCTCAGATTGGGTCTTTTTGGGGGGCAACTTTTAGCCTACTTCATCGTTTCAAACATTTTTTTTTTCATCCTGCAGGTCTGGCAGTAATCGGGCCTGGATGAGGCTAATGGAAGTGAACTCAGCTGTTTGAATAATGTGGTTCATCAAAGTTGTTTTTTATTCATGATTGAAGGTGGACAGCTACTTTTTTCATACTGGGTCAACTTGGTTTGGACAAGCTTTTTCTGAAATCACTGTTTCAAAAGTGTGTTTTGTTGTTTCTCTGGTTATCTTTGTCCGGTAAAATTCAGGTGTGACAAAAAGCAAACAGAAAAAAGAATATTATATTTTTTCACAGTGGTGTAGGTGGGAATATATCATGAGTTGTGATGTAAACGGCTCTTTTCCTTTATTTTGTATGCCGCTAACTGCTTCTCACCTCCTCTCCTTTTCTCTCCCTCTCTTTCTCTCCTCTTACACTCATAAATCTTGCTGCTCACCAGGGGTTATAAAAACAGCCTTGCCCAATATGGACAGAGAGGTGAAGGAACAGTACCAGGTTCTAATCCAGGCCAAGGACATGGGGGGTCAGCTGGGAGGACTGGCCGGGACCACCATCGTCAACATCAGCCTGAGCGATGTCAACGATAACCCACCCAGGTTCTCAAAAAGTAAGTTTAAACTGAAATCTGTGTCTTTATGGTTGAAAAACTGAGCTGCAGGAGCAGGTTGACACATGCTTAATAATGAAATAAACCGTGCACAATTACTACAAGGCGGGGGGCGATTCATCATCACTTCTCTTTGTAATTGCTTTTCATTATTTGTCATTATGCGCCGTCGTAGGCAATGGCCTGTTTATTTAGTGTGATTGCATCTACAGCTACAACTCCTGGCAAATAATCCAGGGTAGATGTCATTTTGCTCATGGGCATCCTTTCTATATTTAGATCAGATTTGAGCATGTTGGTGCTGCATCAGGGATTCAGCCAGTGGATTTAAACTGTGTATTTTATTCCCATAATTTCCCAAACCAGATTAGTTCAATTGCACCATTCACTGACTTATGTAAAATAAAATAAACAAAATCGAAAGCACGGGGATGCATTGCTAAAATGTGTGCACGTTGTGTTCAAAGCAGCATGGAAACAGAAAAGCTAAACTACTCTGCAGTTTCTGTGTGTATGTAGAAGAGACTCTCTGTGGCCTCGTCTGAATGTAAATACAGTCAGTCAGACGGTCAAGCTCCTCTGGCAAGAAAACCATGATATTTCCATAATGCTGTCGCAGCACTGAGGTTTGGCCAAGTATGGCGGCTCTTCTGCCACCATCCCACTCTCGCTTTATCTTCCTCTCCTCGCCCTCTGCACAGCTTTCAGAACTATACTATGTACTCTAAATGATGAAAAAATACTACAAACGTGTCACTTTATGAGTCTTTGGTAGGTGATATAGTCTCAGAAGGATCACATTAAAATGACTACAATTGCTATATAAATATATTACAATAATATAAAACATTTTATCTTCAGAGTATCACTCATTGCTTATGATCTGTTGTGCATGATGGAGGTTCAATCTATTGCTGCAAAATGCTAATAATTTATACCAGGAAACAAGAATTAGTTGTGATGTGATTTTTATTCCACCTATTCTGTTTTGGAAATACCCGATTTGTTTCCTGTTTAGATGTTTACTCCCAGAAATCTGACAGGCCAGCATGCAAAGCATCATTTATCTTCTTCTTTAATGTTCAAATGTTCATAAATCTAAGAAAATATTTTAAAATCACAGTCATTTTAAAACTTGTAAAATGTAACACAGACTTATTCAGGTTTCTCCCCTCAGCCTTTATATAAAAAATCTTTGAGTTACCTGTTCAAGTACGCCTAAATGGACAGTTTCTTCTGAAATTGCAAGCTCTGACTTTGAAAATCATAAATATGATGGCATATTGCACCTTGACCTCGTAAAACTCTGGCTTCCTGCAACAACACATTTAAACCTTGACTTGTTAATAACAACAGAAACGTGGCTTAACTGAATTAGTGCAGTAGTATCTTGTCCTTAAGACATCCAGCTGAAGTTTTGGGATTACAATTGTTACAATGCAGATGTCAAACTTGTGAAGGAGGGTTCACTTTAAGGAAGTTAAGGAACTGGTTTTTCAGTCAACCACACTTTTAAAGCTAGAAGCAAACAGCTCAACAGCATTCTGCCTGTAGTTTTTTTTTCTGCAAGTGCAAAACTGGAACAGTATCTAACTGTGAAGAGGAAATGTTATTTTAGTTGTCCTCAGGCATATTCCTAGGAAGAGGCGGCACTATCAATAAATACAAATGAACGCAAATACGAATGAACAACTAACTCAAAAGGCCTCTAGGCTAAATGGTCCATAAATATACCTAAAAGCAACCCTGCAGGGAGAAAGCAGATGGTATATAACTGAAGGTAAATTAAAAGAGTGGAGTAAAATTTCACAACACCAGTTAAACAAAGTAACCCCGGCTTTCCACCGGAGCCGTCAGCAGCACGTTACTGCAGCAGCACGTCATAGCTGCTGATAGGAACCGTTGTGGTCAACAGAACCTTTTCCACGGGAGCCGTCAGCAGCCGTCAGCAGCGCGAGTCGGCCGCGTCTCAGGAGCAGCATGTCGCGGCCTTTACGCGCCGGTTCTATTTTCTACGCGCGACGCCTCTGAAACGGGTCAATTTAGACATGTTTGGGGAAGGAAAGACAGGAAATCGGACGCGGAAATGGAGAGAAGCACCCGAGATTTTCAGAATAAAGAACGTACTGCCTTCCGGTTGCTTTACTTTTAAAAAAAGTTACTAACTGTGCGGCCCCGTGAGAAGTTATCACCTAGCTAGCGGTCTCCTTTGTTTTTCAGGTCCGTATTGGCGATTATAAAACGGACAGAACATAAAACACAAACCATGTTGTAGTTTTCTCCTGCTTGTTGTTGTGTTTACTGACGAAGTCACTCGTGTGACTTCGTGCTCTGTCGGTGACAGCTGCTCCCCTGCTGCTTCGCGTCTCGTGGGAAGGGCCAAGCAGCAGCTTACGCGAGCAAGACGTGCTGCTGCAGTAACGTGCTGCTGACGGCTCCCGTGGAAAGCCGGGGTCAGAGGCCATTCTACGCGGCAGCATTTTTATTCTAATACAACAAAAGTAAGTCACACAAATGGAACACTAAACTACATTTGGCTATTTTAACAAAGAAAGCAGGTGGGTATAAAAAGCATAAGAGTTATTAGATGACTTACTTCCTAAGAACAAATAAGATCACTAACTTATTGTGACACCAGTGATCTGGGGCCAGCAGCACATATCGGAGCCCTCTTAGCAACTGGCAACCGTGGCTTTAAAAAGGAGAGCCGCTCCCTAGCTGTCATCAAGGGCATGTAGGTCAGCTGCACTAGCTGCATCCAGGAGGAAGGAGAGGTAATAATCCAAAAGGGTTCAAATGAAGGCGTTGTCGTCGTCGTTGTCTTCGTCTTCCTCCGCTTATCCAGGTCCGGGTCGCGGGAGCAGCATCCCAACTAGGGAGTTCCAGACCGTCCTCTCCCCGGCCTTCTCCACCAGCTCCTCCGGCAGGACTCCAAGGCGTTCCTGGACCAGATTGGAGATGTAACCTCTCCAACGTATCCTGGGTCGACCCGGGGGCCTCCTGCCGGCAGGACATGCCCGAAACACCTCCCCAGGGAGGCGTCCAGGAGGCATCCTGACCAGATGCCCAAACCACCTCAACTGACTCCTTTTGATCCGGAGGAGCAGCGGTTCTACCCCGAGTCCCTCCCAAATGTCCGAGCTCCTCACCCTATCTCTAAGGCTGAGCCCGGCCACCCTACAGAGGGAACTGTAGGCCTCCTTCTTCCGCCTGACGGCTCCCCGAACCTCTGGTGTCCACCAGCGGGTACGGGGGCCATTTTTGCTCTCATCGGATGAGAAGCAAAACGTCTTCAAGAAACCAAAGAAGTTGTGTTGCCATCATTTGAACCCTTTTGGATCACCATGGCCTGGAAGACTGAAAACCTTCACCGTCATTGAAGAGGTAGTAGCGCTAACTAGTCATGTTGCTGTCCAGGGTGCTTATCAGAAGGGGGCAGGAGTGGGCGCTGCCCGTGGTGCTGAACAGATGGCGACCGTAACAAGAACCTTCATCAGAAACCTGCAATAATCTGTTGTACACATGTGCACTGCCCTCTGGTGAAGGATCTACAGGTGGGGAGGGCCAGTTCTATTTCATTAATATTGTTAAGTCAAAAAAAGGAAAGATAAAAATCACAAGGTGTATTATATTTATGTAATTACTGACTAAAATAAACAACATATTATATAGTGGCCACAATAAAACAACTTTTTTCCTTGACTTTTTGTTTTATTCTTATTTTGACTCTTTTTTTTTTGTTTGTTTGTTTGTTTATAAGATCCTTCCAATGACAATTAGAAGTCAAACCAAAGAAAAACTTCAGAGGTCAAACAGTAACATAAGTTTTAGCTATGGTTATAATTATTGTACATGAACAAACAGACATTTCCTGCTCCAATAATTTTGCTCTAACTGTTATCGTATTTTTTTTAATTCAAACTAAAATTCTACGTATTTGCTCTTCCAATCAAAGGCTTGTTTGGTATTTACACCGTTAAACTTAGAAAATGTGAAACAACGAAAGCCCTTAAGTCAGTTCATTGCTGAGGCATTCAGAGGCTGTGATTTAAGCCACCAGTGGAATCTCACTCATTCGCTCAATAAATAGCCCCAAACAGATATTGAATAGCTGCTCAGAATGGCACCATTTGTAAGATTAATGCCTCAATTAGGTGTCACTTTCATTTCCTGAACTGATGAACTTGCAAAGATAGTATGAGACGTGCAGTTAAATGAAGCTGGTTGAGATTTCTGGCAAACTATTTTAAGAAATGTGTTTTTAATAGGAAAGAAAAACAAGTGAAGTTAATAATCGGTTGTTTTCAAGTTCTTAAATAATACAATATAACTGTACAGTATCAAAGGTTATTTTATTGCAGTTTTATTTGATAGCATGAATGATAAAAGTACAGGTACTCAAAAATATGTTTGAATTATTTTACTAAACTGACAATACAACCCAAACCACATTATTTAAATTATTCTTTCACATAAGTGTTGCTTTTGTTTCTTGTTAATTATGTAAGCAAATTATTAAATTTAGGAATAATACTTTCAATCTGCAGTTTAAATATTTCAAGTTAAATATAATAAATACTTAACTAGAAAGCCCTTATCCCTTAGAGATAGGGTGAGAAGCTCAGCCATCCGGGAGGGGCTCGGAGTAGATCCGCTGCTCCTCCACATCGAGAGGAGCCAGTTGAGGTGGCTCGGGCATCTAGTTAGAATGCCTCCTGGACTCTTTCCTGGTGAGGTTTTCTGGGCACGTCCAACCAGCAGGAGATCTAAAGGAGGACACGCTGGAGAGACTGTGTTTCTCGGCTGGCCAGGGAACGCCTTGGGATTCCCTGGAGGAGCTGGCCCAAGTGGCTGGGGAGTGGGAAGTCTGGGCCTCTCTGCCTAGGCCACTGCCTCTGTGACCTGACCCTAGATAGGTGGATGAAAATAAATGAATGGATGGATGGATGGATGGATGAATAAACAACTAAAAATAATAATAAAATATTTGCTGGGCTTACATTTTGAATTGTTTGCATTTGGAAACCTTTTTTTCAAATAGCAAGAAAAAATGTTTTCTGCTTTAATGTAATTTTACTTCCTCAATAATGTCATTCATTTATATATATATATATATATATATATATATATATATATATATATATATATATGTATGTATGTATGTATGTGTGTGTGTGTGTGTGTGTGTGTGTGTGTGTGTGTGTGTGTGTGTGTGTGTAATGAACCTCAGTTTGGTTACATGATAAAGAACCAAGAATAATGTCATTCATTTGTAGACTTCAAAAAAATATGAAATAATATATATATTTTTTTTTCATATATATATATATATATATATATATATATATATATATGTATGTATATATATATATATATATATATATATATATATATATATATATATATATATATATGTATGTATGTATGTATGTATGTATGTATGTGTGTGTGTGTGTGTGTGTGTGTGTGTGTGTGTGTGTGTGTGTGTGTGTGTGTGTGTGTGTGTAATGAACCTCAGTTTGGTTACATGATAAAGAACCAAGAATAATGTCATTCATTTGCAGACTTCAAAAAAATATGAAAAAAAAAAAAAAATATATATATATATATATATATATATATACATACATATGTATATATGTATATATATTTGGTTGCATGATAAAGAACCAAGAGACACTTTATACACTTTATACCTAAAACATTTCCAGTCCCTGAAATCTGTGATACTCTGGATTTGTGTAACGCTGACTTGCTCACACCTACTTCATAAAGTCACCAGATTTGAAACACAGCCTTGATGTTGTCAGTTTTCTGGCACAGGCAGAAACTAATCCTTAAACTGATCTCAGAGAGTGAAGTGAGGAATAGAGAAGATTAATTTCCTTCCGCTTCAGGTGGAAGTGATAATCAGTCTGCTGTTTGCTTGTCCTCCGACTGTTCCCACCCACTCCAGACCGTAGCTATGATGTCTGGATGATGATGTAGGGTCACAGCCGTTAGACTCGTGTTTGTTGTCATCAGATAATGAACACAGAGGCGTTGATGTCACAACACAACCCTTTCATAGAGAACATCAGACACGTTTTGGTGGTGAGGGAATCCCTAAAGGGCAAAGCTCTGTGTTCCTATTTGATGTAAAGTGACGGTAAAAGATGAACTTGACTCCACTCTCGTTTGCTCTGACAGGTTTCTTTCACGTACGAGTTCCTGAATCCTCAGCAGTGGGCTCTGCCGTCGGCAGGATAAAAGCCCACGATTTGGACATCGGGAGGAATGCTGAAGTAGAGTACACCATCGTTCCCGGAGACGGAGGCGCCATGTTTGATATCACCACCAATGAGCACAACCAAGAAGGAATCATAATACTCAAAAGAGTGAGTAGACTCAGTTGGAAGATACAAACATTCAGTAAATTATTATGTAAAAAAAAAGCAGCTGCTGGAATCAATTATTTATTTATTTATTTATTTATTTATTTATTTATTTATTTATTTTCTGATAAGACATTTGAAAACAAATGATAACACAGATTTAATACTATGATACAATGTTTTACCACAATACAAGACCAAACAAACAGGGCAACACAAAACAAACTAATATTTCATTGATATAAGGCTGCATTGTTGAGCAGTTGGTAGCTCTGTTGTCTTGCAGCAAAAAAGGTTGCCGGGTCAAATTCCAGTTGCAGCCTTTCCCTTCAGAGTAGGCAGGTTCTCCCCATGCATCACCCGGTTTCCTCCCACAGACCAAAAACATGTGTGTGCAGGTTAGAGACGCAACCGTGTGCCCAGGAGTGAATGAGTGTGTGACTGGTAGTGTGGTCCTGTGATGGTACTGGTGACCAGTCTGCAGAGTCTGTGGTCCTCTGGCCTGATGAGTGCTGGAGTTAGACACCAGCTCACCACGACCCTAGTGAGGATGACGCGGTTCAGATGATGGATGTATGATGGGTCAGTGAGAACACAACGCATTGTTCCAAAATTACGTCATCCATAAAATAAAATGATATATCAAATCAAATCAAATCACTTTTATTGTCACGTCACATGTGCAGGTACACTGGTACAGTACATGCGAGTGAAATTCTTGTGAGCGAGCTTCACAGCAACAGAGTTGTGCAAAAATACAGTAATGTAAAAACAAGTAAAATATAAAAATGGCTAATCTAAGTAATAATATGTATAAGTTGTAATGTATATACATTACTAAATGTTTATGCAAGTATTTTTTTTAATATATTGTTCTACGTGTGTGCGTGTGAGTGTGTTTGTGTGTGTATAGTGTGTATATACGTGTTTTACAAATGAATAAAGTAAACAATAAAATAAGAGACATGAAATATACAGAGGTTGGTATGTGGTTGGTATATATAATGATACATATGATACAATAACGGTATGATAGCACAATGTGGTCAGATAAAATTATACTGACACACAATACAATCTGTAATACTTTACGAAACAATAATAAAGTAGCATGAATTCATAACATTACATAATACCTTAAAGGGGGGCATATTTAGATATAATAGTCCTGTGGTCGATACAAAACATGATTATGAAGTTTTCTTCCATAATAATCCCTCTCGCATAAAACCATGTCAGCTGTCACTTAAAAAACAACGGTTGGAGCTACCCACGTCCACCCCTTCCCTGCTCAGGTTGCTAAAAGCTGAGAAGCTCAGATATCTGGGAGGGGCTCGGAGTAGAGCGGCTGCTCTCTCACACGTGACAGAGGGTCCTATTCTCACTCTTTGTAATGGCTCGCTTTAGGCGCGTCATTCCCGGAACCAAAAACAGGCAGAAAATGAACGGATGTTTGTTTGTTTTTCGTGTTTGGAGGTTTTTTTTAGAGCATTAGAGACCCACAGGGCAGCACAAAGGTGAGTTTTGCTTAATGTGTCCCCTATAATACAAAACAACAACTGAATTCACTTCAGCTGTATTGTGCCAGTTTACAACCAAAGCCACCTTAGAGCTCCTCACCCAACAAGGTGTAAGAAATTAATTACTGACAAAGGTTTTAGCTAGATTTTTTTTCCCTACCAACTGTATTAAAACAAACTACTCATCACTGGAATTAAAGGTTTATTAACATTTAAGTGTAATCCAAATCCTAAAATATAACCAGTTTCCTATTAAAGAGCAAGTCACCCCAAAATCAACTTTTTTTTGTTGATAAACTATATAAATGTGTGTCTAATCATGCTGCAGACACGTGTGGTCAATAATTTGGTACTTCAGTGCATCTTAGTTCAAATTTAAATATTCTGCCTAAAACTGGCAGTGTTGCGCCGTTGTCAGGTAAAACCTCTGCACTGCATTGGAATTTAAATCTTCCACCGCTATTGGCTAAGAGGTATGCTATGATGTAAACTGGTACATTATGATGTCACAATGCCATTGTGAGCCTGTGTGTGTGTGTGTATTTGTTAGTGGCTCCACCCTCTCGGTCTGCTAGGCAACAGCATTTGTTGCATTTTTCATACATGAAGAGGGAGTGAAGTAAATTTCTTGTAGGGGGTAACTTGCTCTTTAAGTGGCAGTTCTCTACATAGGTGGGGGGTGTTCAGCTAGTTATATTTTGAAAGTTGAGAAAAGTGCACATCATCACAACCTCCACCCTGGGCCTAGAGCACTGTAAATGTTTTGAAGTATTTTGGAGTACTTTTGGGAGGGAGCAGCACAGAGTCATTATTGAGGAAAATGCTGCACATCTAAAGCTCTGCTGTTGGTTGAACACTGCATTTGAACTCCGGCATCTCTTTCATGTTTGAGAGGCTGTCTAAATCCTGTCCAAAACTTTGTGCTTCACCGGATCAGCGGAGAAACAGAAGCATACCGTATGAAGCGCCGGCTCGCCCGGCTCCGGAGACTTTAAAAATAGAAAAAGTTATCACACCTGACAGTGAATGGGGAGAGGTGGGATGCAAGCAGATGCAGAAACATCCCACAACTATGCATGCTTGGAAATAAGCAGCAGTCCTCAGCCACTTGGAGGAGGGATTGCACAAGTAGGCGGGGGTGCACTTCCATCAGGTTGCTGTTTAGGCATTTGGCGTGTTATATTTACACCTAGTTTTTCATGTGCTACTATTTCACTGGTGCTACTGACTTTTGGCACCTATGAAATTTCAGCATCACAATTTAACGATGAAACAATTCAATGGTCTACTACTTTACAGAATGTGTAGGTTGGATCACGTTGACTTTGGCTCTAGGAGGTGGATGTAAGGTCGTGCTCCAACTGAGTCCTTTCTGGCCATGCCATAAAGCACATCTCAGAGCAATGACATAAGTCTTTCTGATCGCCTGTGCAATCTAAAGCAGTCACTTAGCATGTCAGGGCTCATTCACTTTGCCATATGTTCCTATGGATTAATACGTCCACTGCACCGTGACCCAAAGCAAAAGGTCTTGCCAAAGTATCTCATTTAATACCAACTACTTTGGCCACATAAAGCATTTTTAGGGGCCATAATATCGCTTCACAAAATGGCAAGTGGCAGAAAAGAGGATGTTATATTGGAGAAATGTATTACTCACAAGGTAAACCCTTGGAGATCCTTCATCTCATTTTCAACAGGGGCTCACAACTGCCAGGGGTGAAGGAAAATACATTATAGTTTCGGAGTAAAGTTAGAGAGACAGAGAAATACGATGACCTATCTGTCCAATGGCATGAGTGTTAATCTACTAAATATAGGCCATAATAAGATTTGAAAGGCAATCACTCATTATTTGTGTTTATATATTTAATAAATCTAAAGCTCTACAGCAGATTTAGGCTGATTTGTTTTAGAACTTTGTTCATGAAGGATGGCAGTGGACCAAAAGGTGTACCAACAGGTAAGACCTTTGTTCGCAGTATTAGGGGCTTTGTTGTGGTTTATTTGGGTGAAGAGAGAGCTGACCCAAAAGACAGTGCTCTTGATTTACAGGTCTGCTTCTCACTTATGGTCATGACATGCTTTACATGGGCCAGTGTGCACCAATACGCAGCACTGGCACTTTTAAATATTACCTCTAACCCCTACTGCACACTGGTAGCATCAGTGGTGTGGAACGGCAGCGGAAAGGTTTACTTGCAACAATCGCTGCACTCCGGTGAACGGATGTGCTCCTCGCTTGGCTCGCGAGATCACAAAATCCCTCAAGTTTATGCCATAAACCAAAAAGAAGGAAAGCAGGTTTGATAATGTTGTTGAATGTCATATGTGATGTTGTTCCTCACCACTGCCAGGATTAAAGCCATGAAAAACACACCGTTACACTTCTGGAATAATGCAGGGAGTAAATAAGTCTTTCGCTCACTTGTATTGATGTGTTCTACTCAGATATGAAATCGCATCGCTGCAATATACTTTTATTTTGAAAATAACTGGGGGTTTTACTCTGAAACCGTATGTGATTTCCTGTCTAGCTCTATGTTAACGGCAGACATTGTCATGTCCCAGAAGTGGCTCGTTGCAACAACAGAACCTGGTGATCCTTTGCTTAGTGGTGTGGCGCTGCTTCTGGGACGCATCTGAAAAGTGCTTTTGAATCACCCCCATAGACTCTAATGGATTTTATTAGAAGCTGTGTGTTCTGTGCTGCTGATGCTTCCAGTGTGCAGTACTGGTACTTTCTCTAGCTTACCTTGAACACTGGGACTAGATTACTTAGTCACTCTTCCTTAGGCCTGCTAGCCTAGTGAACTAGACCAAATACTTGCTTTGCAAAGTTTGATAAATAATAAATATAAATAATACATTTATTTAGTCTGGCTTGCCAGGCAATAGAGCTCCGGGAGTTGACGTCACTTCTCCTGGCATGCAACAGTTCAAATCGAACCAGCGCCATTTGGCAGGCAGAAGCCGGCAGCTGGACTATTTGTTATTGTCGGAAAACTCAATCAAACGGGAACTATGGTAGATTCCTGTTGTGCCCCAGGATGCAGAACAGACGCGGACGACATAAGGAATGAGCCATCTACAGGATTTCCCGAGATCCGGAGTGCCGCAAACATGTGATCATTGTAATAAAACGCGCTAGTGACCGGGCGAAAATGAAGCTGTGGGATCCCGAGAGTAAAGGATTTCGCTTATGCAGCGACCGCTTCATATCAGGTACTTAAACCAACGTTTCCTCAACTGTGTATGGTGTTTATTTTAAATGCTTTTATTACGATTCTTAGTGGGCTTCCTAAACTTTGTTTGGCGTGGCTTTTTCTGTCTTATTACTCATAGCAACAAGTAAACATCACGTAAAACGTTGCCTCGTGAGTTCTGCGTGCTGCCGTTTACGTGTTTTATGATCACAGCAATTAACCGGCTAAGCTGTATTTAATTTTTAAGCAATGGTTGATCAATTGTCAGATCACACAT